TGGTGGTGATGATGGTGGTGGTGGTGATGATGATGGTGGTGGTGGTGATGATGGTGATGATGATGATGGTAGTGATGATGGTGGTAGTGGTTGTGGAGATGATGATAATGATGATGGTGGTGGTGATAATGATGGTGGTGGTGGTGGTGATGATGATGATGGTGGTAGTGGTTGTGGCAATGATGATGGTGGTGGTGATGATGGTGGTGGTGGTGGTGATGATGATGATGGTGGTGGTAGTCATCGTGGCGATGATGATGATGGTGGTGGTGATGATGGTGATGATGATGATGGTGGTGGTGATGGTGGTGGTTGTGGCGATGATGATGATGATAATGGTAGTGGTGGTGGTGATGATGGTGATAGTGGTCTCCTGGAATACTGTGAGGATGAGATGATGATGATGATGATGACGATGATGACGACAGCAACAACAGAATAGCAGCAACTAACGTGGAGAGTCCTTGCTCTGTGACGGATAACCTATTGACGGTTTCATCTCATTTCATCTTCACCACAGGGCAAAAGAGAAGATTCCTTCCTCTCCCCTTTTCTACAAAGGAGGAAACTAAGTCTTGGAGAGGCTGTGTAGTTTGTTGAGAACACACAGCGGGGCATTGGTGGAAACCAAATTTTAATCTGGACCTGGTGCCAAAGCCCTGTGCTCCCCAGCCCTTGCGGAGCGAGCACACATAATGGGTGTTCACATGTGTGTGCTTCTGCCCTGTTGGTGGTGGGAACAGCATGTGACTCCGGTTATTGCCGTGACCCAGGGTAACAATCCTGTGTCTTCAAGAAGTCTTACCAAACACAAAGCACCTATAAGTACTGGTAAGATACAGGTTTTCTTTCTTTCCAGACAAATGAGCTTGTGTTGAGTTTGGAAAATGATGACAGACTCATGCTGAAGGAAGACAGCACGCTGCGAGCCGCTGGAATCGGTGAGCGAGAGGGGCCCTGCGGTGCTGGAGGGGCGCTCGCTCCCCCAGCCTCTCTGCTGACGCCCGACTGATGTTTGGATAACTCACCGCAAAGTAAATGCTACCCTGGGTGCTCTTTACACTCCCTGATAATTATTCAGAGGAGGAGGACGAGAATGATGTACATTCAGATCATTTGACTGAGGGCAGGAGATATCTGCTCTCCAAATGTGCAGAATGCAAATAGTTCTTTTCAGCAGGTATGCTCAGAATTCTGCTGAGAGTTATTTTAAGTGATTGACAGGTTATTACTCACTTAATAACCTACTTACTCTTATCAGCATCATTTGAACTGACGGTTTGAGAGAAACGGACCTGGTAGAAGTAACGTGGAATAATGAAGTAAGATGTTGTTTGTATAACGCGCAGCGCAGTTTCTAATAGTCTTCTGGATCACTCAGGGCCACCAAGCCGTGGAATTTCAAGCAGGAGCCTAGTGTGTGCGGTTGAAAAGGGGCCCCACCTAGCTCTTCAACCTGCGTGTGGTTCTGTTTTAAAGAAATACCATGTGACATGTTTTGTGACCATTAGATGTCACTCTAATTCTGTGTATGTACACCTAAAGATCATCTGGCAATAGCAGTGAAGATTTTCAGAGGTGTGAGCAGTTAAAGGCACTATGCCTCTGACGTACCTCTGCGGTCAGTGACTCTAATGAAACAGCACAGATCACACTTCCTTCATAATTATTTACATGTACTGGTTAAGGGGTACTCTAAGTGAGGTCCCTGTTAGGAAGCTTTCCATCTTTTTGGCAGGTGTTCTCTTGAGTCATTTTAGTGACATATGTCAGGAATTCAGTTTCGAAGGATCCGTGTGGCTAAGGTAAGTTCCTGACATGTCTTCTAATTTAAGTAGGATTTTGAATAACACGTTACAAAATCTTAGACTGACTTTCCCTGTTTGTTTCCACTATTAGCTGGATTTAGTGTCTTTTCATATTATAAATAGGTAAGATTGCTATTGTTTGAAAACACAGTTTTTATTTTGGCATTTATTTCTTCAAATGCTATTATATTATTACAGCAAGTGGCACCTGTGTTATTGACGCATACAGCACCTAGAAGTTAGCCCCGCTTGTTACTAACGCATAAAGCTGTAATTATTATAACAGATTGCTGTGGTATTAATGTACGGATTGAAAGCTCCATGGAAAAGATCAGAAGCAAACTAAAAAAGAAGTCAGAGTTCGCAATATGAAACAGTTTTGACATCTCAAATGAGTGGGGAAAGAGTGAATTAGCTAGAAAATGATGTCAGGCCCATTGCCAAAGCATTCAGGAAAATAAAATTTAAATCCTTATCTCAATCTTTATTCCAAAATAAGTTGTGGATTGATGAAATGTCACAATGTAAAAAAAAATTTTTTTTTTAATTTTTTTAACGTTTATTTATTTTTGAGACAGAGAGAGACAGAGCATGAACGGGGGAGGGTCAGAGAGAGGGAGACACAGAATCTGAAACAGGCTCCGGGCTCTGAGCTGTCAGCACAGAGCCCAACGCGGGGCTCGAACTCACAGACTGTGAGATCATGACCTGAGCCGAAGTCGGCCGCTTAACCAACTGAGCCACCCAGGCGCCCCCCCAAAAAAATTTTTTTAAATAAAATGTAGCTTAGTAATTTCATAATCATGGGGAGAAGAGCTCTCCAAGCATGACTTTGAAGGCAGAGCCATAAATCGGGGCGAAATGATATATTTGACCACGTAAAAACTAAAAATTGTAAACAGAGTTAAAGCAGAAGCACCAAACTATGAAAAAATACTTTGTATATGACAAAAAAGTTATTAGCCTGAATTGATAAAAGCTCTTATAATTAGCTTGAAAAAGATAAGAAATCCTACTGGTGGAAGAAATAGCTAACATATGAAAAATAGTTCAGCCTTATTAGTCCTGAGAGAGAGAGATACATGATGATAGATGCTATTTTATGTAGTAATAGTAATCTAGTGGTTAAGAATTAGAGACTGGAGCCGGAGCGCTTGGGTTTACAACCTCATTCTGCCACTTACTGGCTGGGTGACCTTGGACAAGTACCAATTTGTTATTTATTATTTCTTTTAAACATTAAAAAACATTTTTAAAAAATATTTATTTTTGAGAAATAGAGCACGAGCAGGGGAGGGGCAGAGAGAGAGGGAGACACAGAATCCGAAGCTGGCTCCAGGCTCCGAGCTGTCAGCATACAGCCTGACATGGGGCTCGAACCCATGAACCGTGAAATCATGACCCGAGCCAAAGTCGGCCGCTTAACCAAAGTCGGCAGCTTAACTGAGCTGCCCAGGCGCCCTGACAGGTAGTGGTTTCAAGACTAGCAGACATGAAGAAAAGTGGTATTATCCAAGAGAATGTTGGGAAGTGGATACTCTTTTGTACTACTCTTGGGAATGTATATTACCTCTAACTTCCTGTAGGTCAGTTTGGCCAATGAGACTTTCTCGCTCCTTAACTTTGTCTCGTATCTGTTACCAGGCCAACAGGAGTACGCTTCCTCCAACTCTGTGACTCCCCGGAGGTTGAGATGTGCCTTCAGAGGGGTGGCAGGGGTTCTCTCACCTTCCCTGTTTGTGAAATCACTGGTGTAGAGCTTTCTTTATTGAATGGAAATAGAATATATTGTGTGATACCATTACTGTTTAAAATATATGTTTACACATCTGTATGTGTATATGGAGAAAAGATCATGTAACAAAATTTTAGAAATGGTTCTTCGGGTGGCGGCACTTTAAACAATTGATTTTTTTTTTCCTCTCCATATTGTCTAATTGTTCTTGTAGTGGAAAATTTTTATACAGTTCACATATACTTAATTTGTAAATTAAGGAACCAATTTTAAAGAATAGACTCCTGAAAATTGGTTTGAGTGAGGGCTCTGCATTTCACTCATTTTGTGACCTTTGGGAAGCCATTTAGTGTTTTTGAATGTTCTGATCTCTATAACACAAAACAGAACCAATTAGACCTGTGTCAGACTGTTGTCTTAAGAGTTGAATGAAAAAAATCTATGAAGGCATCTGGAACGATGTCCGTAGACACCCTCAGAAATACTTGTTTGGAAACCATTTTGGAGAAGGCAGTTGGCAAATGTGAGTTGTTGGTTTAATTGTCATTAATCTCAGACTCCTGTATGGGCACCTGGGTGGCTCAGTCGGTTATGTGTCCGACTTCGGCTCATATCATGATCTCATAGTTTGTGACTTGGAGCCCCACATCAGGCTCTGTGCTGACAGCTCGGAACCTGGAGCCTGCTTTGGATTCTGTGTGTCCCTTTCTCTCTGCCCCTCCCCTGTACAAGCTCGCTCGCAAGCGTGCACGCCCTCTCTCTCTCTCTCTCTCTCTCTCTCTCTCTCTCTCTCTCTGTCTCTCTCAAAAAGTCAATAAATAAACATTAAGAAAAATTAAAAACTTTCAGACTCATGTAATGAACCACCTGTGAAGGTAAGCATCAAATCCACCTTTTTGTCATTCCTGTTTTAAAGCCATGGGTCTTTGGCGAGAATCAGATCCTTTCCACGAGTCCCAGGGTGGTACAAGAACCTTGCAAGCCCCTAGCCCTGCTCAGGGGTGACGCTAGGCCCAGCCTGAGTGGCTCTCCTGTCCCACAACGTCCCTCCGTGTTGCCTGGGGCCGTGTAGCTGTACCCTGGAGAAGCTTCATTTAACACCTAGAGGAGGAGGCGACGGGCCCTGGAGACCAACCAAAAATTCTAAGTGGGAGTAGAGTTGTAAAAACGACCCTTGAAGTGTGCGACTTTTCTAGGGAATTGCCGCTCCCTCAGTGCTGTGTCTGGTTAGGTTTTTAAGAGGTTTAAGGGAAAAATTCGAAGTCGTCCCTCTCCCTTTGTACCACTTGATCTTGCTGTAGAGCTGTCACTCTGCCATCACAGCCAGTTGCCATGGGAATAATGCCAATGTAACAAATTTATCATTAGGACTTTTCTGCAGAATTCATGAAAGGGAAAGAAGGACTGTGTGTGTGGAGGGGAAATTAGGGGAACAAACTTGTTTGAAGATCTCTTTTCTCACGGAGAAATTCTCCAGTTCCTGCTCCGACCTTTTATCTGCATTGCAGATCCCAATTGTATATTCTGCGCCTGACGTCAGGGCAAATTTTCGCTTGCGGACTCCGAGCTAAAAGACAGAAGTAAAAAGATTTGCTTTTTGGAAGGAAGAAGAAAGCTTGGCTCAGAACTGTTATTTGTAATCGAAAGATTTTTACCTTGTTATTAACGATTGTGGTTTTGTGCACTGATTCCCCTAAGTGGTAGATTTGCATGTAAGTATTTTGGGGGTATCTCTTTCCTTTTGCAACACTCTGCCACTATTATCTTTTGAGTCTTCTTTCCTTAGGAAAGAAATGGTGGCAGGGTAACTCTTTCCAACCAGTTGTGTTTTGCTGGAAATATTTTAAGACAAGATACAGTGGGCCAAACCAGAAGTGCTGATCTGAGGGAAGAGCTTGCGTAAAACCGGATCGTGTGATCCTTCCAAAGCTCCCTTGTGGTCTGTTTTCCTCCTGCGTGTCACCTCTTGGTGCCTGCCCACGACCAGATCCCTGACTCTGTGCCCAGCACCTTCTGATGACCTCACACGTACAGCTGATGTTGTGGGATTCTTTGGCTTCCATCCCTTTATCGGGCTCGTGTTTGATTTGTGTTTCCTGAAGGTTTGGGTCCCTTTCCCATTCTCTTCTGGGTAGTAATATCTTCGGGCGGACATGCTCTCCTCCCTTGACAGCGCGGGAAGGGGGCTGTTCTGTACTTTAAACATCAACACAGTGATAGTCTGGTACTCAGGGAAGTAGGTGCTAGACCCAGGAAATTGGGCTTCCAGAGCAAGAGGTCGGGACTGTTTCCTTTCTACCTTCCCCTCACCATTGTGGACATCACAGGCCTGCGTCCAGTCTGTCAAAGGTCAGATTTCTTTTACTATTCGTTTTCTTCAAACTGTAGCTTGAAACCCTCTCTGCCAGCTGATCTCAGGAACACCAGACGCTTGAAGCAAACATAAAATAAAAACCACTGTGTTTGGGAACTTTCTGCCGGATCCCTTTGCTGCAAAGTTAGAAATATAACTCAGCTGTGAGCACAGTTTTGAATGATTTGTACATTGGGATTTTGTGAACCTTGCAAGGGTAAGATGTATTCCTGGACCAGGAGAGAGGGCAGAACTTTGTCCTTTTGGTCTCAAATTGCCGCAGAAACCAAACCTCGCTCTTCCCGTATTTTGTGTGTGTGTGTGTGTGTGTGTGTGTGTGTACGTGTGCCCATAATCGCAATTATTATCACATTACAGACTGCCTTGATCATTATCTGTCCCACAGAGCCAGCGCACAGGTCTCTGTCTCTCTTCTCAGACAACAGTTACTGTGCCTTATGCTACATTGGTGCTGATGAGTACAGGCCAGGGAGTTTGAAACTGCAATAAATCCTTGTCGATGGGTGAGTTTTTTGAAATAAGCTAGTTAAGGAGTTTAAGCAGATTGCCTTGAATTTTCCTTGAGATTTCACATTTAAAATTGGTTTTTCTTACATCCTTTTATATAAAGGCATTATTATTTTCTTTTTAAAGGTGAATGTATATGGTGTCTGACCTGTTTGGACACATGGTATACAATTATTCATTTCATTTTCAAAGTTTGAATGTCCTGGCTTATGTTCATTTCAGCAAACTTGAAAGTCTGCATTAAATTGGTGCGTGGTATTTGAAGGATTCTTACTTGATATCATTTGATAGTAAGACAAAGGATGAACTGGCAATGTATTTATTGGGTTTTAGATTTTACATTCATTTCAGATCCACTTGCCAAGGCGCTCTGCACCCGAGTGCCCTGTCGCCTACAGCACATTTAATTTAAAATCAGGTGCCCTGGGGGACTGGCACACAGTAGCCTTCCCGAGGGTTCTTCTAGAGCCATTTTAAATAGAATTGGAGGAGCAAGAATTTAAGGGATGATGGTGCGAAAGGGTGATTATGGAGAGGTCTTGAAAATCTTTTGTAATTTGTTTTCATTTTAAATTCACAAGTAAATTTGCATCCTCAATACAGGAAATCGTTGTCTCAAACATTTTCAACAGAATTTTATTGATTTTTAAAAAACATTCCATTTTGTTTGAGGACCACATTACTAAAGTTTACAATACATCTTAAGTCTTACTTTTTTTTTTTTCAACGTTTATTTTATTTTTGGGACAGA